TAGAAAATGTTCTTAAATTTTAACATGTACTTGAATATTTCTGAAACTAGCACAGGTATTTGCTTAAAACTTAAAAGATATATGAGGTGTCACAAATAAGATATTCAGGTCAAGTTTCATAACTCTGTATTGCATTTTGACAAAGTTATGCCCCTTTTTAAGTCTTTAAATTTACATACAATCAATACTAGACAATATGTTGTGTCCGCTCTATAAATTCTATACTAATGGAAGGATTTTCTTCAAACTTTACTCAAATGTTCACCCCAACTGGGCGATGTGCAGAACCCATCTTACCCTTGTGCCAGCTTAAGGTCAAGGCCACACTTGAAGGTCAAAAATTGACTTATAAAATGTTTAGTACATTGGGAAAATGAAAGGTTATTTGTAACTGTTTCAAACATGATTTGATAATATATATTTATACCATTACCTGTATAATTAGTCATTCTTTCACCAGAGATAATTTCTTTTTATGTATTTGTGCCACTTAAGTTATTCCCTTAACCACCTTTCCAAGACGTCTTCTATCAAGGACATTGGTTGGGGTATGAATCGCATTCAGCGATAGTTCTAGTTGAGTACCAGGTACCGATATTTGTAGATACTGTTAAATTTAAATTAGAATTGCTATCAAACTTTTCATAAAGATTTATAACTCTAAATTTTATTATGCATTTGCTACATAGCTGAGAAACTGAATACAAAGAAATAATTGCATGTCATTATATTTACAGAAAGTCTATATTACAATGTGGGTTGCAACACCCTTTAATTACTGTGTATATTGACAAGGTATCTTACAAAGTGTTACCTGATATACAGGATGTATTTATAAATGAGATAATTTTTTATTTGTATCATCTACATCTGCTTTATGATACTACTTTAGATAACTGATATATAACCGGAATTAGAAATATAACCGGATATTTTCACTCGACTTTTAAAAATGATATATTGCAGTTAGGATAAGCTTTAACACATTTATTTTCGTCATCATTATATTATTACCTGTATATACAGATTTGAGCTTGAAAGACAGCTTAATAAGTTTAGACATGAGAAGTTTAAAAACTGCAAACATTTTCATAATCATTATTACCGCTGTGCATAAAAAAAGTTCAAGGGAACATTGTCCTTTTTTAAAAGTCATAGACTGTTCTATGAACAGGTCAAGGACATTTATTCCTTTTTGGAGACAACAATATTGTATTTGAAAATCAAAATTACACTGCATTGCACAAAGGTGAAGGCCTGAAATGTCAGACAATAACCATGATTGTTAGGTTCATTATCAGATCTGAGGGTCATAGTTACTGAGGTCAAAGGTTGAGTTAAGATGTAATATATACGTTGAATTATGCCATACTACCATCTCACCTGTTAAGAACTAAGTCACATTGTAAAAACTTATTATAGAAGCACTATCCGGCAATCCTTGATTCTTTAATTTTATTGCAGATGTGGTTGTGATTTAACTAAACTAGATAATGTTCTTGAAACATTATTTCTAATTTTGTTATCAGTAGTAATGATTAGCAGCAAATTTGTTTCCTTGTTTGTACAACATCAATAGCTAAACGCTGAAGTGTTGAGTAAATAGGACTGGAAATTTAGCTAGACTTTTCCAAGAATAGGGAGAACTATTGTACTCACACCGGCTTCAGTGATGGCGTTGGCTTTGTCTTCACATATCAGTTAAATTTTGCATGCAAGTTGGTATCTCAAATACTACAGAATTGAACGGGTTGAATCTTGTTCTCTGTGATTATCAAACATATGTACATGAATATTTATAATTATATATATATCAACAACAGTTTACTGGCAAATGATTGAAAAAAAAAGACAAATCTGAAATCAATAGAGGTATGAAACTATTTGCAAAATTACAGACTTGGTTTGAAGTAAGAATGTTTTAATTTATTATTTTTTGAGAGCTGAGTTCAGAACAAAGAAGATATCAGTGCAGTCTTGATTGTCTTAATTGATTTGATTTTATTTATTAACAGTGAATGCAGCTGCTAAAACAGTAATAAATACTGGCTGATTTATTATATATTTGATAAAGATTGAAGGATACTACCATGTCTAGCAGAAAACTGTAAAAAAAAAAAGCTTTGGGGTTGAGTTATTTTAGAACCAATTTGAACCAGATACAGTGGAGAAGATGACTAATCGGTGGGGAAAAAAACAAACAACCCCTGACCCTGCTAAATGAATTATCCATCTTTCAATCTGGACAAAACTGTTTAAGGAAAATATCAAAATATTTGTTGACCGAATAGCAAACAGTGCAGACCATGATAAAAGGGCATGCATATTGTCATCAGATTCTGATCTTGGTCTGCACCGGTCACATGGTTAGAATGTGCCACCAGAAAGCTAGGGGTTAAAGGACTTTTTATTTAAAGAAACAATTGTCTGGAAACTCAGTGAGAGCTTTGTTTATGGTTTACTGCTATGCGTGTTAACCATTTTATGAGGTCAAAAGACCACAGTGGTATGTCTGTAGTGGGATATAACCAGATAAATTGAGGTTAACCATTTATATGAATATATCAATTTGTCAGAACTGAATAATTACAGCATGAATTTCAATTATTGAAACCACTATTAGATAATAGACTTACTCTGGAATAAGGAATATTTTGAGTTTTCCCAGCTTATCCGAAAGTACAAACAAACTTTTACAGTTACAGCTTCAAAACTAAGCATAACAGGTTGACTAATCTATTGTGACCGGTAGTGCAACGTGAAGCTATAACATTAAAAGTTTGTTTGTACCTGCTGATTAGCTTGGAAAAATCCACATTTGTCGAGTTCTGGATAACACCTATTATATACTGTTTATGTTGTGTGTCATCTGGAATATTTTGTTTGCAGCATTCAATGTTGGAGAGTACCGTCGTGCAGCCACTACCTTAAAATGCCATGATTTCTTTAGATCTGACAATAGCGAAGCTGAAAACTTACGAACGTGAGTAGCAACAGAATACAAAGAGTATCCTCGGGATGGTTTGTGAGCCTTCCTGAAAAATATCTGAATGTTTGCACTACAATACAGTTCTCCTATCTGACTGAATTAGTATTGCTCTAATCTGAATAAGTTAGTATTGCCTCAATCTGACTGCATTAGTGTTGCCTCATTGTGACTGAATTAGTATTGCTCTTATCTGACTAAATTAGTGTTGCCTCATTGTAAATAAATTAGAATTCTCCAATCTAAATGCATTAGTATTGCACAATTGTAACTGAATTAGTATTGCTCTAATTTAACTAAATTGGTGATGCTCCAATCGAATTGAATAAGTATTGCTAAATTGTGACTGAATTAGTATTGCTCCAATTTTCACTGAATTAGTATTGCTCTTTGATCTGGCAGAAAATATTGGTGCAATCTGACTGAATTAGTATTTCTTAATTGTGACTAAATTAGTATTGCTCCAGTTGTGAATTAATGAGTTAATAGCTCAAACCTGACTAAAAATATTTTTGCTCCATTGTGACTGAATTAGTATTGCTCTAATCTTACTGAATTGGGGATGTTCCAATTAAATTGAGTAAGTATTGCTCAAAAGTGACTAAATTAGTATTGCTCCAATTGTGACTGAAAAAGTATTTTTCCAACTATGACTGAATTAGTATTGCTCCAATTTAGACTTAATGGCAGCTCAAACCTGACTAAAATAGTATTGCTTTAGACTGACAGTGAATTACTATTGTTGTATCAATTGTTTTCTTTTGTATGATTATTTCTACACTGAAACTTCCTGCATGATAGCTTAATAGATTTTTTGTTTGTTTTATAATGCTGTCAAATTAAAAAACGATTATATTTAGTTCTTGAACTTTTACTATCTTTCTTATTTTTCACAATTATAGTAAATTCCATTCCTGTTCCCTGTAGATTCTAACTTAAACCTGTAAGGTGAACCTCTCTTGAATTAGTGGTGGCATTGTTATTATTTATTTTCTATTACTTTTGGAAAAGCGTGAGATAGCATTGTTAGTTATAAAAAAAGATTTTTGAAAGGTTATATAAGGCCCAGTATGAAGAATTATGTCAGCTTTTATAACCCATCTTGTAAGGTGAGGGTTATATGTCCACAAACTGTTGATTATACATGGTCATAAACTTGATAAAAGTTGTTAATATAATGAATTTATAAAGCTGTGCAGTCCATTTGCATTTTTTTTATTACAATTGAAAACAAGCCATAAATTTGCTACAGTCCTGTTATAACTAATTCAAATAATTAAATGTCGCAAATGGCCAGTAAACAATAAAACAAACATCAGAGCGGGTAAAATAATCACTGTATCATTTATTGCGAGTATATAAATTCAATGTGTATGGTTTATTGCTTGCGCAAGGACCTGTCACTTCCACTGACTGTATCATTTATTGCAAGCGTATTTAATTCAACTAATATCCTTCCACGCGATCACAGGAAGTAGACAACTTGACATGTTTACCCACTGTAAAGAATTGCTGTATTGTAATAACTTTAAAAGGAGCATTTAGAAGATTGAAGTTTTCGACTTGATTTTTTTCCTATCAAAACAAAATCTATAAAAAAAGAATATACAAATGTTGGTGCAAGTTTTAAGTCAAAATATCAATATTTCGTCACCTTGGTGAAAGTGTAAGCTGCAGTTTGGTTTGGGAAAGAAAAAGAGGCCCAATATTTCAGATGATTTTGTTTGTAGGGAAGAGAATAAGTGCTATAAAAACCTTCAGATATTTTTCATATATATGTGTGTTGCGTCAAACTAGAATGTCCATAGTGGTCTGATCTAACATTTTACCTTATTTCAGGGCATCATCATAAAGCAGGTCATAACATTTCACAGATTTAGGGGCTCATTGCGAAGAAAATTACAAAAAATCCAAAAGAAATCATTGTGGGAAATCCCAAAGAAAATATTGGGAAAACCCATGACGAAAATGGGGAAAACCCAGATTTCTATAAATAGAATTGATATCATTACAGTGTTCAATGTGGGTGAATATAGAAGGGCAGCCACAGACAAGTATCGAAACCATGCCTTTTTTGATATGGCCAACGCAGAAGCGGTAGCGATAAGACAGTAAGTTAAAGACAGCCATGTTGACTGTATGTTAACAGTGAGATGTTCTTTCCTGTCTTTTTAAGGTTTATGTTAACATTTGAATATGTTCTTTTTCCTTTCATATAACGGGTAATATGGTAAATGTAGAGCAGTATAAATCTTGCTTTCGATCAATGATTTGGTGATTTTTCTTCTTTTTTTTTCTTTGAAAATATATGACCTGGTATTAGTGGTACACCACTTATAAAGGGCAGTTAGTAAACGAAACAAAATTATTTCTGAAATGGATGCGTGAAGATTTAATTTAGTCCAATTGATTTTGGTGTTAAAGTTATAATTATATCATTTAAAAAAAAAGATAAAATTGTAATCTGAAATTTTGAATAAGGGCCTCATCTGTTGCACGAAAATGCAAACATCACTTCCTTAAGTCAATGTTTTTTTAAGCCTAATTCACCATTATATAATATTTATGATCATACATTTTCTTTGCAAAACTCAAGGTCATATAAACACAAAGTTTACAGAGTTAAAATATTCATATCCTGTTTATTTTCATTTCTTATGTTAATCAGCTTGAATTTTTTAATCTGATTAATTTTTGTGTTCTTTGATGCGTTAACAGAATACATTACTTTTCTTGTAATCAGGTAATTTAAGGTTGAAGGTCAGTTTAAGGTCACTCCTAGGTCACTGCTAATAATAAATGTCAGGCAGCTTTACTTTTTTATTAAGGTAAATAAATAGAAAAAAGTTATAATCGACCTATTTAATAAAATTATGCTAAGTCCTTACATACCCATTTTATGTTAATTGTTGAAAATAAGGTCAAAGGTCAGATAATTTCATGGATTAATGAGGTACAGTCTATTTAAAACTTGATTAAGAATTAAGAGTTCAAGCTAAATGTTTAGATTCAATTTTTTTTTATCATTTTTTTTTCGGAGACTTGATTTACGCTTTTAGTCACAGTGCTAGTTTTGTCTTTCTATAATGCACATCTACTCCATTTGATATAGTTGTGGTAGTCTATTTTAGGAGTGTAGTGCTGTATTGCAATGAATATATATATATACATAATGATAGTCGTCTTCAACACCATATAACGAAGTCTGTCCTGCTCTTGTTGTTTTGTTCTATTTTTGAAGAAAATGTAATATTGGTTTTCTGCAAATATTTTTATTAGGTTTAATTCATAATTTGTTGAAAAATATTAAAAGGTAAATTTTAGAATCATAATATTGTTTTGCCTATGGATTATCTTTTGACACCTTCCATGATCATGCCCAGTAATGCTTAACTTTATGACATCGTCTTTTTAACAGTGCCATCTTTTGCCATAAATCATCATTGTTTTTGATAAACGCTTTTATAACAAACATATCATTAACGAAATTTCATCAGGCTTTTGTTTGACTTTGTTACACTCTTTTAAAAGCTGATTGTTAGAATGGCACACTCGTGTTGTGATTTTAAAACTCAGTACACCGTCAGATCGACCTGACTTGTACAATGACAGATGGTTTCTCAACTTAAGGCAACTTGAGGATTAGCGTTGTCTATAATTGTTTCTCCTAATCTGAAATAATGACTCGTAGATCTTTGGCTGCCCTTCTTCTGTGTGTTAACTAATTCATTTTGTTTCCCTAATCATTCCTTTTATGATATATTATAATCATCATAAAAATGTGCAAATTCACATCTTTTTCTATGAAACTAGTTTTAATATCATGTATAAAAATGTTTGTTATATGAAAAAATTAACAATACACTATAACGCAAACATTATGAATATGCAATTAAGGTAACAGGGGCTTGGTTTTATTCTTTTCTATGATTTATATAAATGTGCACAGTATGTTTTTATTTTAATTTTATATTTACATTTTAGTCAGAATTTTGACTAACTATTGCTGCTAGTATATATCCAGCTTGACTATATACTGTCAACTGCTCTATTCTAACATTAATACTATTGGCTGCCAAATTTATATGTTAATTCTGTTGGCTGCTAATATTTCTCTATGATTTAATGTCTGCTGCTCAAATTTTAATTCTGTTTTTTAGCAATAAGTTATTCTGTCAGCTGCTTTAATTTTAGCATTTTTTAACACTTTCATCAGCTTAGTTTTACCTTTTATTCTGTTGACTGCTATATTTAAGCATTTACACTGTCAACTGTTTAGATTGAGAATTTATACTATCTACTGCTAAGTTCAAGCATTTATACTGTTAGCATTTTTTATACTGTTGACTGTTTAGTTTTAGCATTTATACTGTCAACTTTTAAGTTTTACTATTTATACTGTCGGCTGTTCACTTTTACCATTTATACTATTGGCTGTTCATTTATAGCATTTATACTGTCAACTGCTAAGTTTTAGCATTTATACTGTCGGCTGCTAAGTTTTAGCATTTATACTGTCGACTGCTAAGTTTAAGCATTTATACTGTCAAATGCTAAGTTTAAGCATTTATACTGTCAACTGCTAAGTTTTAGCATTTATACTGTCGGCTGTTCACTTTTACCATTTATACTATTGGCTGTTCATTTCTAGCATTTATACTGTCAACTGCTAAGTTTTAGCATTTATACTGTCGACTGCTAAGTTTTAGCATTTATACTGTCAGCTGCTAAGTTTAAGCATTTATACTGTCAACTGCTAAGTTTAAGCATTTATACTGTCAACTGCTAAGTTTTAGCATTTATACTGTCAACTGCTAAGTTTTAGCATTTATACTGTCAACTGCTAAGTTTTAGCATTTATACTGTCGGCTGCTAAGTTTAAGCATTTATGCTGTCAACTGCTAAGTTTAAGCATTTATACTGTCAACTGCTAAGTTAAAGCATTTATACTATCAACTGCTAAGTTGAAGCATTTATACTGTCAACTGCTAAGTTTTAGCATTTATACTGTCAACTTTTAAGTTTTACCATTTATACTGTTGGCTGTTCACTTTTACCATTTATACTATTGGCTGTTCATTTTTAGCATTTATACTGTCAACTGCTAATTTTTAGCATTTATTCTTTTTACTGCTCAGATTTAGCATTTATACTCTTGGCTGCTCAGATTTAGCATTTATACTGTCACTTGCTCAGTTTTAGCATTAATGCTGTAAAATGTTTAATTTTAGTGTTGATTCTGTCTGCTCTTCAATTTAAGAATGAATAAGGTGGGCTTCTCAGTTTCAGCATTAATGTTGTTGGCTCTTCAATTTTAGCATTCTTACTTTAGGCTGCTCAGTTTTAGCATTTATACTGTGAATTGTTAAATTTTAGCATTTATGCTGTCGGCTTAACTCAGTTTCAGCATAAATGTTTTTGACTGTGCAGTACAAGCTTAAAAGAACTGTTGGCTGTTTTACAGTCCAAAATGAGAAGTCTGATGTTATTATATAACAAAAATTAGCCAGATCCAGCTTTAAATGTTTATTTAAGCGTTAATCCCATTACCTTTTACCCTGGTGGCAATACCTTTGCTTTGGTTATAAAAAAAATATTTTTTCTTTGATTGACAGGGACCTGATTCTTTGTTCGTTTTCTTTATTTTTTCTTTGTTTTTTTGCTTACATTGAAGTACATACATGTATATAAAGTGAACTTGAATTGTTGTCTAATGCTGTAATGATTATTATCTTGAAAAGAATTAAGAGATATTAACATGAATAAAATATTTAATTTAGTATCTTTTATTTGCGATCTTGTTTTTGAGTTATTTGCTCTTGAATTTGAAGTCTTTGCCAGGCTACAAAAATGTAAAATTTTGTGATGAAAAAGGAGGATATAATTGTTTCTTGAAATGAACAAAAATTTCTAATTATTTGTTTTCAGGAGGTGTGCCCTGATGGCCATTGATGATGCCATTAAGTTCTTGCGCAGCGGAGGGGAAGTTGCGGTAAGACCATTATTATAAAAGACAAAAATCTTTTGGTTTTGTGGTGTTTGTTGTTGTCAACATTGAAAAAAAATTGGATGTCATTTTCATGCCCCGACAACTTAAGGGCCCTTAAGGGGAGTCATGTAGAATTTCCTTTGTCTGTCCGTCTGTCTGTCATATGAACATGCTGTACGTCAGTAGACAGACAGTAAAGTGTAGGGGCATCCATGTCCTATGGACACATTTCTAGTTTTTGGTTGGAATTTTTATGTTGCACCAACACAAAATCTTATACTGTGTTGGTACAATGTAAATTCCTATCAAATAAAAAAAAACCCCAAAAAACACTGCTTATGATATTTTGATGCAATGTTTATCTTATGGAGATATTCAGACAGTTCAACTAGCATTTCAGGCACAGTGATGTTGCACAAATTTGGATATTGCATTTTTCCAACAAATTTATTGAATTGGCATCTTCCTGTATTGAAATTTTATATTGGTCTCCTCAAACAAATTTGAATTTGACAGTGAGTATCTTTTATCTTTCTCTCACCATTCTCAGTTTGCCAAAAATATATCAACTCTTGTCCTAATAAAAGTAAATTTGTTGACTATATTATTGTCACATTTGTAAGATACCCAAGGGGGGATTTGTTTTTAAAAATATTTTCATCTTGATGAATGATAGAGAATAATAAACTATTCATAAATGGTGGATGAAAAAGTTATCAACTTAAGTAGCAAAAACCAAAAGATAAATTTGATAAAAATGTCACTTTAATGATTTTTGTTTTAACACTTTAATGCGCTGTTGAAGGGACGAAGGGGCTAGATTTTCACTAGGTCATGATAGAAAATCTCTGCAAAATAGCAAGTAAAGGGAGATTCCCATGTTTAAAGTTCAATGAAAAAGGGAGGTTCCCATGTTAGTTCAATGAAAAAGGGAAGATTCCCATGTTAATGCAATGAAAAAGGGAGGTTCCCATGTTAGTTCAATGAAAAAGGGAAGGTTCCCATGTTAGTTCAATGAAAAAGGGAAGGTTCCCATGTTAGTTCAATGAAAAAGGGAAGGTTCCCATGTTTGTTCAATGAAAAAGGGAAGGTTCCCATATTAGTTCAATGAAAAAGGGAGGTTCCCATATTAGTTCAATGAAAAAGGGAAGTTTCCCATGTTAGTTCAATGAAAAAGGGAAGGTTCCCATGTTAGTTCAATGAAAAAGGGAAGATTCCCATGTTAATGCAATGAAAAAGGGAGGCTCCCATGTTAATTCAATGAAAAGGGAAGGTTCCCATGTTAGTTCAATGAAAAAGGGAAGGTTCCCATGTTAGTTCAATGAAAAAGGGAAGATTCCCATGTTAATGCAATGAAAAAGGGAGGCTCCCATGTTAATTCAATGAAAAAGGGAAGGTTCGCATGTTAGTTCAATGGAAGAGGGAGGTTCCAGTGATAGCTCAATGGAAAAGGGAGGTACCCATATAATAGATCAATAAAAACTGAAAAAAATTGGTGAGAATGCAGACTTGATTACTTTAGCATAGATTTTTGCAGAATCATTCCCCTTTCTGACTTAGAAAGTTATGGGTTAAAGCTCTATCACTATAACCACTATGAATATCAACTTTGTATTGCACATTTTATTCAGCATAAAAATTCTAGACCATAGCTCTATACCCATAACTCTAGCATGGATATTTACAGAATTATTCCCCTTTTTGTGAACTTACACGATTCCTGCACTATTTTAGCTTTTGTTTTGTAATCAGGCGCTGAGAAAAGTTTAATGCTCTTGATATTTTGTTGTCCCACTTTGTGAACAAGCACTGAAAAAATAGTTGAATATAATGTTTGTGTGACATGTTTGTTTGGTACCCTTTCATTTAAATTACCTCAGTATGTGCATGTGAAAATAATATTACAACTGATCTGTTTTAAAGATACAGTAAAACTTTCATGTGAAGATCTTGCTTTTATCTGATAATCAGTTAAATTTTATTTCTGTCTATCAAAACTGGCATACATGCAAATGACCTTAAAAGGAGAAGGTATAAAAGTTTCAAATTATTCATTTTTAGAGTAATGTTTATAACCAAAGTCGGGTTTGAGTAGAGTTGATAGGACTAGCTCTGAAATGTCCTGGTCAAAATATTAAAGGCAAATTATGATAAATTTTTCCTTCTTTACAAAGGGCAAACAAAAGAGTGGCAAAATGTAAACAAAGTAGTATTTTGACTTCCATACAAAATCTCTAACTGTACTAATTGCTAAAAAAATAACAGAAGAAATAAACTGCTCAGGCAACTGGCCGGAAACTATTACCTGACACCAAGAATCAACAGTAAAAACATTTCTTGGGCATAATGCCCTGCCCTCCCCCCCCCCCTTTTAAAAAAAAATAAAAATATTATTTGGTTTTAACAGCAATATTTATTACATATATATATTCAAAAAGCATAATGATGGAGTATGGAGTATAATGCATGAGACATCATTACTTCTGGCTAACCAAGTGTTAAGCAATAACTGTGTAAATGTACTTTGTAGCTCATTTATTTGATTATGTTTTATTGTAGGTGAATATAGAGTTTGGTTTTCTAAACATGGTTGTCATAAATATGAGAAAATTTTCATAAAAAAGTGTTAAATATACATGTATCTATTCAAAATAAAAACATTACCACTATTTTTAAAATGCTATATATGTGTTTAAAAGGCCTTGCTTAAATTGTTTAAGATGAGAAGAATTGTTTCTACTGTAGAGGTATCATATTAGTGTTAGATTAACTTAAAAGTACTTTTCTGATTCGTATTTCAAAGAAGTTTGATAAAAGGTCATTGAAGCTATGAAAATTTGTTTGAACCCCATGATTATATGGGAAATTACCTTTGCTGGGTTCTAGTTAATTTATTTAATATGACTGTTTCTGTTCACAAAACGTACCTACCAGCAAACATGATTTCCCGTATAATCATGGGGTACAAACAAAATTTTATAGCTTCCTGGTGCACGACTGATTACATTGGAATGGTCAACTTAAGATTGTTTGTACATCAGAAAAAAATTTGCATTGCCGGGTTCTGGAGTATCTCTATTAATTGACACATTCCAAATAAAACTTGTCCAGACTTCAAACTTTGATAATATGAATGAATAAAGACTTTTCATTTTAAAATATTTCAGGTTATAGATGCCACAAACACTACGCGAGAGCGAAGGAAGTTGTTATCTGAAATTATCTGTGATAAAAATGGCTTCCGTCTATTCTTTGTTGAGTCCATATGTGACGATATCAATATTATAGAGGCTAATATACTCGTAAGATTTTATATTTGATAGTTATAGAAAAAAATATAATCACATTTTGTATGGGACTTACTTTTTCTGTGGATTGTTTTTTCTGTGATATCTTTTTTATAAGGCAAAAGTTCCTGTCTAACAGTTTTTCATAAAAATGTGTACATGAGGAATTCACAAAGCATAACTTCTTTATGTACAAAATGAATTACAATGAAAATTAAGGCTGTCATTTCATCACATTCTTGCAAGCCTAACTGCATTTATATTGTTAAAATATTATGAATGCTTCGGCATAAAATTTATACTTTACTACTTTTGTATATCCATAGAAATGACATGTGTTAAATTTATACGTTATACATCTGTTTGAAAGACAGGTTGTATTGCTGGATCACTCCTGGTTTTGGGGTCCAGTTTTGTCCACAGCTATAATGCTTCTTTCATGCATTGGATTATAGTAATACCTGATATACAAATGTTCACAACATAATTATAACTCAGTACAAATGTTCAGTTCACCATTGTAAGGCAAAGTGTAGCAAGCAAAATTCTGGTCCCTGTGTAGAAGGTCAAAAACGTAGAGGTCAAAGGGCAGATAAAAATGTGTGTATAAACAGATGTCTAGAATTTTGGGATTATAATCAAACATGTTCATTCATAATCATAAGACTCAGTCATACCTGGTAACCAACATAATGCAGGTCGATATATACAAGGTCAAGGTCACAAGGGATGATAAAATGTAGAGCATAATTACCTTCTACATGCATGGATGGTTGATACAACTATTAACCAATATAAGAGATGAAGTGATGCACATATGTACCAGGTCTCTTGGATAAAATATCAGATCTTAGTCAAAGTCTGGTTGATCTAATATCATAAATTTAAAGTTGGATTTTCCGACAGATTTACATCATGTCAGACTTTCAAATACATTTTATACAAATTAAAGCATTTTGAAACAGTACTTACTACTAAGTGAATAAGAGTGTAGTAACTCAATACAGTCCAAATATCACAGAAAGAAAACAAAGATTAACATGTTTTTGTTTGTTAGTTGCTTTCTTCTACATTTTCTATTCATATTCTAAGAACTCAAAGGTCCTATAACTGAAATTTTTTATGGTTTCATATCATAAATATGATGCTCAAATGAAGGTTTATCAATATGTGAGTTCCAAAAAGCATTATTTGTAAAGATATTACCGAATTTTCATTCCATGTAAATAAAGGGAGATAATTAGAAATTTATTTTCTATAATGTCTAAGCCAAATTTTTCAATAAGAAATGAATGCATTTATTTAAATGATTACTATAATGCACATAACCATTTGCAGTACATATTTAAGATATTCTTAGATGTTGTGGAAATTGTTTTAGAAGAATAATTATATACATATATAAAATTACACTTATGTGTTGTTATACATGCCTAATTACAACATACAGGATCTTTAAGAAATAAGAAGAATAACATTTAAGAATAAATATTTTTTGCCTTTTCTTACAAACATACAGTTAGTATAGTCTTGCGCTAAAACCCTTGATATGATAATTTCATTATCGTACAGGAAGTGAAAGTTTGCAGTCCAGATTATCTAGGTATGGATAAAAATGAGGCTGTGGAAGACTTTATGCAGCGTATAGAACATTATAGACAGAACTACCAGTCCATGGACTATACCCACGATAAAGATCTATCCTTTATACAAATCTTCAACCAGGGCGAAAGATTCCTCGTCAATAAATTAGCTGGTAAGTAAATAATTCTTTAGCCTGCTGATGGCTACTGAATTTACCTGTGATTAACCAGTACAGACCAAAATCTGCCTGCACATTTGTGGCCAGTCTGTATAATTATGATTTGCACTATATGATAGTAGTTAGTACAGATTTTGAAATTATTAGCCAAAAAATAATAATGAATAGTCTTGACCATATTGAAGGATGGAAGAGTGTATTTGATATTTAGAATGCTGAGGGTAAAGAAATAGTTGATTTTTGTTTTCAACCATTGGCATTTTATGGAAAATATTATTTAAGATTTAACAATGAATACATGTTAAGGTATTGTGGTTATTTAGACTGCATGAATTAATGTTTCTTATAAGCCTGTTAGTAAACCTTGAACATAAACTTCAAAGAACATTTAGTAAAGGTAGGTGAATAACTGTATTAAAAAAAAGACACCTGAGTATAAAAATCAGGTACCCATGTAATAATAGAGCAATCTTTTTTTAACTGTTATGCATATTTGATTGCTACAATTGTGCGTGTTTGTTGTATATATTATTGTACAGATAGAGTAATTTTACAGAGAATTTCATGCTTCATAATCAAATGTTGCCACAATAAAAGCTTCAAAATTTGATACTTTGCTTATATCAACATGTGTTTTTATGGTTCACATGACTTGTGTTGGTCTTCATAGAAACATAAATTTCATACCCCTCTCAATTTTATATTCTCCTACTGATACTAATTATTTTGCATAAAGTTAAAGCCAAATATAGGCTTTTTTTGTGTTTGACAAAAAACTGTTAGAAAAATCAAACAGGATGAAACCAATATCACAAAAGGGTAAGACCATCAAACTGTTCTCTTTCATTTTTATATGCCATTTGAAAAGGTCACGGTGTGTCAAACACAAAATTCAGGTTCCAATTTCCTGTGACCAAGGTCACATAATTATAGAGGTCAAAGGTCAGATAAAAGTATAAGAATGCGCAAAAAAGACCATTTGATAAATATGAATTGATGGATTTTAAAACAATTGTTTTATATCATGAGACAGAACATGGCAAGCACAGTCCTGGTCCATATGTGCAAGGTCAAGGTCATTTGAGGTGATGACATGATGATTGTCCAGATTTTGTTTGCAGCATCTCCTACATGCATGGAGAGATTTAAATACGACTTGCTGGAAATTTTCAAAATTAAAGATATTTAACAATCAGGTCTAGGTCAAAGGTCAAGGTCATACATAGATGTCATACAAGTCTTTAAAGTTTTTGTAAAATTTTACTGTATGTTTTATTTGCAGGCCATTTACAAAGTAGAGTTGTGTATTATCTTATGAACATTCACGTGTTACCGCGGACCATTTACCTGACACGGGTAAGTAACTTCTGGTATGTTTTATGAACATTGTGTAAATGAGAGTAAAATTTACTTAAATATATCAGTACTGTTAAAATTTACACTGAAATGGATTAGAAGATGTGCTTAGACGCCTTTATGACTTGAACATATTTCATTTTTCGAATATTTTTTGTGTTTATAAACATAAGATTTTAGTTATTAAAATGTTTAATATCGTCACCTTAGTGAAATAACAGATCAACTTCTTATACAATTTGATAGGAGTTAACGTTACTGCACTAAGGTTACAATATGATCATTTTGAAAGACAGGGTTACCAATAATAGTTAATATGCAAGAATAGTTATACCCCCGCACAACGAAGTTGTAAGGGGGGTAAACTGGAATCAGCTTGTCCGGACGTCTCCGCGTCTGTCCGTCGATTTTTCCTTGTCCGCCAAATAACTTGAGATTCCTTTAGCCCACAGTCTTCATATTAGGCATGGAGGTTAGTCATGATTAGTAGATGACCCCTATTGATTTTGGGGTCACTGGGTCAAAGGTCAAGGTCACAGGGTTCTTGACTTTAAAAAGCATGTCCGCCCAATAACTTGAGATTCCTTTGGCCCACAGTCTTCATATTTGGCATGGAGGTTAGTCATGATTAGTAAATGACCCCTATTGATTTTGAGGTCACTGGGTCTAAGGTCAAGGTCACAGGGGCCTTGACTAAAAAAACCTTGTCCGCCCAATAACTTGAGATTCCTTTGACCCACAGTTTTCATATTTAGCATGGAAGTTAGTCGTGATTAGTAGATGACCCCCATTTGATTTTGGGGTCACTGGGTCAAAGGTCAAGGTCACAGGGTCCTTGACTTTAAAAAGCTTGTCCACCCAATAACTTGAGATTCCTTTGACCCACAGTCTTCATATTTGGCATGGAGGTTAGTCTATTAGTAGATGACCCCTAATGATTTTGAGGACACTGGGTCAAAGGTCAAGGTCACAGGGGCCTTGACTAAGAAAAAGCTTGTCCGCCCAATAATTTGAGATTCCTTTGGCCCACAGTCTTCATATTTGGCATGGAGGTTAGTCATGATTAGTAGATGGCCCCTATTGTTTTTGAGGTCACTGGGTCAAAGTTCAAGGTCACAGGGGCCTTGACTTAAAAAAAGCTTGTCTGCCCAAAAACTTGAGATTCCTTTGCCCCACAGTCTTCATATTTGCAGTGTTTATTCTAGGATTCGAAAAACAGGGGGGATTTTTATCGAAAAGTGAGAATTTATTACATTTGTTGATCTTTTTCTTTCTTTGTCTATGTAAAATTTTCCCCCTTCCTCTCAAAAAATAGGGGTGAATTCTGAAAAATATGGGTTACAGGGGCCTTGACAAAAAAAACTTGATTTTAAAATTTTCACATTTGAAGCATGGAGAATACATATCTTAGCAATGCACTGGCTAAGTAACCTCAGATTTGGCAGGGTGGTTGTCCTTGAGTTCTAAATGGCCACTGTCTGACAAAGTGGTTTGCGGGGGTATTCACGCCATGAGTTCTAGTTTAAATTTTAGTACATAATGACGTATGTTCATGAACTATCTTATTAAACCATTCTAGTAACGTGGTATAAAGCATGCCATATTTAAATTCTTGGACAGTTAATTATGTAACTAATTACAAGAAAAAAACAAAGTTTTTATTATCCCAATATCATAAAGCAAAAAATGGCAGTATATGTGTGATACACCATTTCAAGGGCGTGGCCAAGTGGTTTACAGGTTGGACTAGTAATCTTAGGATTGCTGGCCACGTGTTCAAACCCAGTCAGGGCAAGCTGTTGTTTCCTTGATCAAGGAACTTTACACTCATTGCTTAGTACTTGTTAGTTCCATGAACGGATTTGAGTGTTTCATTAAGTTTATAGCTTCCAACACAATCAACCTAAAAAAAATTTGTATAAACTAAGACTGTTCTTGAGAATTCTGACCTGGCTACTGTATTGAAGCCAACTTTATAAACTTGTCCCTGGAAATATTGTTAATGGTGTATAAGATATAATCTCTTAGAAGGCAATTAATTTTGATTTACTATAAAATATATTTGGTCTATTTACTTTCTATGGTGCTTGCTTTTGCTATAGATTTGTGCAATTTGATGTTCCTTGTGCACAATTTCCGTGTGATTTTCACATTCATGTGTAAGGTAGTATGGACCATGTGTACTCATAAAACTGACAGTAAGCCAGTTGATTATGTTCAGGACATGTCAATACAGGACTGAAATAAAATATTGTTGAACAGGAAAACAAAATTGGCTTAGTTGAATGATATTTGTAGGAATGCTAGATTGTATTTTTCATAGGTGAGAATTGTTAAAGAATCTTCTTAACTTGATTTTTATGTCAGAAGTAGATTTTCTTGCACATGAAATTCTATTTTTTTTTTGTCAATATTTCAGCATGGTGAAAGTATGATGAATCTACAGGGTAGGATAGGGGGAGATAGTGAACTCTCCCCTAGGGGTATGGAGGTATGTACATCTGTTTTAGTATTCTCACCACTGTAGGTTCGAATCCTGCTAGGGACTTTGAAATCTTTCATTTGAGGCAGCTATCCAGCTAGCTTGCAGAATGTCACTCCTATAACTCAGGTGACCACTTGTGTCTGAAATAATGCAAGAAGGGGCAACCGAGGTCTGTCTTCCTCAAACAGTGACACTGAAAGTCAACTACATGACCTATACTGTGTTGGTGTGACGTTAAACCCAATAAAAAAATATTTAAAAAAAAATCTGTTTTGGTATTGTCATCAGAGTAAGTTTGAGTCCTTTCAGAAACTTTGAATTCTTCCATGTGAGGAAACTATCCAGCTATCTTACTGACTGACAGTGTTTCTACTTATTTATATATGTTTATGCTTTTATGTTAAGTACCATTTTACTTATTATTTTATGATTTTGTAATATCTGACACAAATGTGTTATAACTTGGTAAAAGCTGAATTGCAAACACTGCAGGAAAGTTGGCTTAGATAGCATGGGTAAAAATTGTTGTCACCAGTAGGCTTAGTGTTAATTTTGTTTTTCAGTATGCCAAAGAGCTTTCTAGGTTCGTGAAGAGTGAGAAGATACCCAATCTGAAGGTGTGGACCAGTGAGCTTACGAGAACAATACAAACAGCTCAGTTTATAGATGGCCCAAAAGCTCACTGGAAAGCTCTAAATGAGATAGATGCTGTAAGTTTTGTTATGTCATAACAGTTGTAATGTAACTAAATGAGCTGTGAAAGCTTTTAAATTTCAAAGGTTGGAAGATGTGATAAAAAAGTACATGTATAGATAATGTTTGTAAAGATGTTGGGTATTAGAATGAAACTTGAAGTACTTGCTTATCATGACAAGATACTGGTGTAAGACAAGGGCCATTATTTTAAAAGCTCATTTTTTAGAGTTATGCCCCTTATAACTTAGAATTTTTGTAAAAGTTACATGTTAAGTAGAATAATTTCAAAACTAGGAAAGGTATCAAAATGAAACTCGGAACACTTGATGAACAATTGCTTATGACAATGGGCAGTTTTAAGACGAGAGGCATTATCCTTAAATTAATATTTTTTGCTAATAATGCCCCTGTTTAACAATTTATAAAAATTGGTCATTGCCTTTAAGAGACCATGTTAACAACGCATGTGGTGCTCTTTAAACTTTAAGGTATATGTGAAGAGTAAGTATTATTTAAAGGTATATGTGAAGGGTTAGTATTATTGTTTAGAGGGTATGTTTTACTTAAAAGGTGAATGTGCAGGGTTGATATTTTGTTTAAGGGTATATGTGAAGAGTTGATATTTTATTTTAAGGGTATATGTGCAGGGTTGATATTTTGTTTAAGGGTATATGTGAAGAGTTGATATTTTATTTTAAGGGTATATGTGCAGGGTTGATATTTTGTTTAAGGGTATATGTGAAGAGTTGATATTTTATTTTAAGGGTATATGTGCAGGGTTGATATTTTGTTTAAGGGTATATGTGAAGAGTTGTTATTTTATTTTAAGGGTATATGTGAAGGGTTTACGTATGAAGAAATTGCCGAGAAATT